ATATATAGGTCTATAACTGGTCTATATTATCTTTAAACAGTTAACATTTTATATTTATTAAAATAATATTATTATTAAAAGACATATTATTACTCAACCAAAAAAATTCAATAATACTAATTATACAAATTATTACCAAAAAGGTTAATACTTCCTTTTAATTAAATTGTCTTATTATGTAATATAATATATAAATTTTAAAAATAATAATTAATAACATTAATCTTAATTAAATTGTTTGTAAAATTTAAAGTTACTAAAATTTTATATTTTAACTTTTCTATGTAAAAATGCAAGATTTCAATAATAAATTTCCTATTAATTCAAATATTAGATAAGATATTTTTAAATAATTTTTATTATGATAATTAAATTATATTTAGTTTTTAAATTTAAATTATAAAAATTAAATTATTATTAGTTAAAATATTACAATTAGATATACTTATTAACTATTATAAGTATAAATAATATAAATATTATTAAGTAGTAAAATGTAAATTCATAATTAATTTAAATTATTAATTAAATAAAAAATTAAATAAATATTGCAAAGTAATTAGGGCAATGACAGATATTACCTAATATCAGTTTATTATAAGAGCTTACTTCTTCTCCTCCAGGTAAGATATATTATATATGTAATTTCCTTATATAGTATATATGTAACCTAAGATTTTCAATTACCCTCCTCCCCCTAGAATATTAGGTAATATCTGTCACTGCCCTTATAAGAATTAAATTATTACTAATAATTTATTAATTTATTGGATTAAATTTACTTATTAAATTTTATAATAATAAAATAATTTATATTATTATTTATTTAATTTATTTAATAAAACTTATTAATTAAATAGTAATGATTTAATTATAATTTTTTTATTAAATTCTTTTAAAAAAAAATTAAGCAATTAATAATATTATATTATAAACTAGCCGTTGAACCCGTTGCTCTGCAACGTCAGATAAACATACACGTGATCGGTACGACGGTTAAATGTTATACGTGATTTTATACAGTCTTTCAGGTGCACAGGTATAAATTCGTAGTCTAAACATTACGGATACACAGGTATAAATTGTAATCTAAACGTTACGGGAATACAGATATAAATATGTAATCTAAACGTGACTGTCACACAGGAAAACAATTATTATATATGGTCCGGTGCGAAAAGATTTGTACCTCACCAAAAAAGGGATGGATTTACGCCAATAAAAATATCGTACGACTTAAATAAGGTGGGCTGATATTCAAGAATTTGTTAGAACATATCCAAACACACATTCTCTCAAAAATTTTTTTCCATACCATGTATTCTCATTTCCTGAAACGAAATGGTGCACCATTAACAGATAACGAAAAATCAATGATAATTAACATTCACAACTATCTTTTGGGGGATAGCTCTACAAGTAATGATCATCATAAGCTAACATTACGCAAGCATATTGCTGAGATATTGGGTGTAGCTGAGGGTACAGTTGGAAGTGTGGTGTCGGACTGGTACAACCGCAGTGATGATACTTTTACACCACATAAAGTCCTCGGAAGACCTAAATTTCAACCTGATGAAAATGTTTCAGAACTTTTG